CGAGTGGACACGGGTTAACGGGGAAGACGCGGGACAGGACCTGTCAGAGTTTGTGTGTTACTCACCTTTGATAGACTCGAGAACGCCCCTCGTCGTTTGTATCGATCGTTCATGACGGCACCCCCGTCAATCACGATCGGAGAGGTCAGATTCAAGATCCCCGAATATGGCAAGGAAACTAACGCAGACTATAAGTCCACCAAAAGCCTATTTGAAGTGGTTCTAGTCAACAGACCTCGTGGGTGCCCTCCGTAAGTATGTGTCAAAAGCGACGGCGAGTCAGTCGACCTACACATCGACCTGAACAACGCCATTGTCATATGCCAGTGGCAATATCGGACCGGTACTGAAGAAGCGTTGATAGAGTTCAAGGCTAAGTAACATGACAGCATACCTCACCTCTGGAGATGCTGCAAGTAGTTGCAGCCATATGTCATCGCATGCCGCAATTCGCGAAGGCCGAAGGAGAGGGACCGGTATGTCCGGAGAGTTGGGTGAATCCATGACTGCCGAGTCGGTATTGGAAGCACAAGACCTGTTGTGATCTCCATGAGTGTTCGCGCGGCCCTTCGGTACGTATCAATTACATACGTGAAGCTGTCAAAATGACCTGGCCCCGGGCCTAGTGGAGGCGAGGACAGGTGGTCGCGGTTTCTATGGCCTAGGTGGTAACGTCTTGCTGCATACTGGGTGAACAGAAGTGTTGAGTCAATTGTGCCGTCGTCACCGCACAAGGATGCGTGCCCGCCATACGTAACCTACCGTGCTTCGGAGGCGCAGCAGAGGCTTCCGCTCTGTTTGACGCATTGATTCACACCACTTCGGACCGGTGGCCACGTTCGCAAGCTATACACTGCGGATTCTCCTGAAGCCGGAGCTCGGCCTGCGTACTTCACCTTCAGAATGCTTGATCAGTTGCGAGTGAGTGTCGGACAACACGACCATCAGACGAGTGCAAGCGAGGGCTCTAGAAAGCATTCCCACCAGTTAGTGCATCTGCTCGTAAGCTGTGGCTTCAGAATAGGACATCATGTATAGGTACCATAGTTTAGGTGCATGCCCTCCTTCCGAGTGCTCTTCACTGGGCCGCCGAGTAGAACTCGCGCTGACTTCCTCCATGCATTGCGTATCCCCACGCGGTCGCCACTAGTTCAGGGGAAACGTTCGGGGCTTTGCGAAGCTTGGTTGGCTGTGTAGAGGAGCAGAAGGCGTGACGTGGTCTTCTCGCACTGCGTCAGAGTAACAAGTTCCTTGTCTTGTCATACGCCCCCTAGCAAGTGGTGAGCATCGAACGTCATATTTAGGCGTTGACACCGTCCATACCGTGGCGCGTCCTAGTGGTTCCACCAGACGGGCATCGATCTGTCGATGCGTGGTGATTCACTGATACAGCATTATGAGCACGAGAGCGGAGCTATCCACGGTCTCACCTTGGTCATCGAGCTACTCCGGTCCAAACGGAAGCTCTTCGTGCGGCTCGTCATAATCATGGCTTCCCCACAAAACGAAGACGTCAAGGCATGCGGTCTCCCCGCCGCCTATCTGTCTAAACACAGCGATACGGTTCTAAGACGGCTTCCGACATGATGAATCTTCGGCCGGCGGCCGGCCTCTTCTGCAATGCGCCCGAGATATGGATTGTGGATACTAAATGGACGTCGACCTCGTTGTGGTGGAGAAGCGGGCAGGGGTGTTCGAAGCGATCGAGCGCGAGAGCTGAGCCGGGGGCTGATGCCCTTCTGACTCTGGTGAGCGCCCTCTACGTCCGCGCTGCGCCCTTGATCTACCCTCCATCGCACTTCAGAAGCATGCGGGAGAACGTAACGAGTTAGCGTACCTCAGTCTCATGCTCTGGGCTTTGTAGAAGGCAGAAACACTGATCCCTGCCCTCGCCCGTTCGTCTGTGCCTTCTGGAATTGACGTCAGCGCTTCCACCGTGCAGCAAGGCGTCGGCGCATGCATTCGAATTCTGCACCTGTCATTCAAACTCAGCCTCCGGACGATCCTGCATCATTCTATGACAGATGCCAGGACTGCAGACCGAGGCCAGGTACCGAGACGCCGTCTCGTTGACCACATGCGCACGGACGTCGAGCGTACCTCCACACGCCCGAGGCCTCATCTTTAACCTTACACAAAATGGTATCTCTGCGACCATTTGACACCCCGGCCGCCCCGGATCCGCGTCGCCGGAAACGCTAACGCCATGGCATGGTGCAATTCGTCGGCGTGCGGAGTGATGAGTCTACGTTTTTCGAATCTCAAACTAATTCTATACAAAGGCAGTTTAATGGCAGTTTAGCCATGATCGGCTTTGTCAACTTACCTTGCCCGAGTGGATATCAATGTCAGGGTATTCTTCAACATTCTGCAAGATGCTTCTGGCGCAAGACGCGGCTTCGAATGATTTTAGAAAGACCAGGAGCTAGCTGAGCCTGTAACTGGTTAACATTCCGCGCACAAGCCGAAGCAAACTTGCGGAGCCTCATGTTGTTCCGCCTCCGTCGACGGCGCATCACCCGCGCACCTACAAATTCGGTCTTCGCTGCAAATTCGGTATTTGCTACAAATTCGGTATTCGCGATTATGCCTTCGCACAGCTTTGCGAAGCCGCCCACTAAGGCTGATCCACTAATGAGCGTTTCGCGAATTTCCCTCCCGTGTACGCGGATGTTGCGTAATACGTTTTTACGCACCGACTTCGCGTAGGTCCGGTTGGCTAGGTCAGGTATGATAACGGCGATGAGGTCAGCGAACGCTGCGTATCTTCGAGTTCCGTGGAGGCACTCAACATATGCGGTCACTTCGCCGTTCCCGACGCCTCAAGGGAGTTCGTGTCCATGTACTTCTATCGGCGAATGTGCAATTCCGTTCCTTCCTCGCGATTCGTAGCGCAGATCGAGATCGCGAAGCTGCGATCTGGGCCAAGCTTTAAGCTCATATTCACAAGTACGTAGTATAATTTGAAACATACTTGCTAAGTTACCTCCAGGGTGTCTGACGCTCCCGGGACATGGACCCTAAAACCCACTCCGCACATTCCAGGTTATCCAAGGTTCCGTCACGCCTCGTGAAATCAACGCTGTGTTTGTCCTGCAAATGTACTGTCAAGGCTGCAGACACGAGATGAAACTCTCTGACTGTGGGATCAATATTGTGAGCAATTGTCGAGCCCAACAGAGAGCGAAGTTAGGCACGGTCACGCTGACGTTGTTGTGCCGCGATCCGGAGATTCGACGGAAGCATCACCGTGACTGTATGCTTAACTGGCGGAAGTGTCCCGCGTCTCATGCTTTGCCGTGAGTGATGAGTTTGACGCCGCCGCCGTGAGTGACGCCGTTCCTCCGCAGTGACGCGATCGTCCGTGTCCGGTTCTCGATCGTCTACATTGTGCTGACCGCTGCCAGCGGGGGCAATACCTCGCGTGGGCGGGCTTCCATGTCTGTGGTCCGACACACGAACGAGTCATGGCATACCGCCACCTGCATGACGCTGCATTGTATTTGGTCGTCAAGAAGCAGAGATCAAGGGTGTCTCCTCACCTTCCAGTACCATGCCGTGTCACTTCAGACGGCCTCCAGAGCGCTACATAGATTATCGCGACCGCTGACCGCACCCAATCATGTTCAGCGGCCTCTTGGGCGCAGACCGCAGCCCGTGTACTCTGCGTTCTCCCGGCGCTTATGTGTCAGGGGTACGAGTCTCCAAGAGGTATCATGTGAGCCGACTGAATACGCAGGTGGGATGGCCTACCGATAAGTGCTGAGTTTGAGAAGAGGGACAATCAGGGACCACTAGAAGCTCCCGTTTTGTCTCCAAACGGGAGGGTCCGCGGTTGCTAGTTGGGTATAATGAAAAAAACCACAAGCGCACGCACCGCAGTGTCATATCAACAGGAGAACTGACAACGTGAGGGGCCTGTGGGAAGCCGCATACAATCAACTACTTCCTCAGATTGCTTGTCTATTCCGAGAGGCGATGGCGACTGGGTTTGTGACCGATTGCTATGCCCGATAAGGTGGACATGGGCGCGATAGTTCGGGACATTCAACCCCTGACGACACCGACAAACGTGCCGTGAGGTAATTGGCGACTGTGCACAGGCAGGCCCAAATGCAGCCGTAATCTGTCCAGTGTGTACAGGTGTCAGCAAGATAGAAGGCACACACCAAGCATGCCCTTGAACTTCGAGCTTCGCCAGGGCGTGACATGCATTGCGAGCTCGAGACCGGCGACATCGGTGGATGGCGGAAGGTACGTACATGCGCCGCCGCTTCGTAGGGATGCCATCTTCCCCGATGCTGACAGCGATTGACAGCTTGACACCAACGTAACAAAACGAACGGCGGGCAAAGTTCGTAAAGTGGCCGGACGAGTAGTGGCGCCTCCAGGCAGCCTGAACCTGAGTGATGGCGAATGCATGCTGCACGTACGGACATGCCCTGTCCACCGCCGAAGTCCGACCACATCCAACCTATCATGTCTCGTCAGCGCCGCCTTCCATGCTATATCCTGTCACATTGCAGCTGTACTCAACTTGCCTCGCTTATCTGCCGCGACCGGGGCGCACGAGAGACAGCAGCCAATGAGTGTGTGCCGTAGGTCCGCGACGAGATTCTTGAGCTGAAGAGGCAGCGCCACTTTCTTGTCCGAGGATATGAGCTACAGTTTTTGTCCTCTTTTCCAGACAACACGACCACGAGGCCGACTCGGGAGAAGTTGGAAGACCCTGAACGTACATATGTCCCCACAGCAGGCGGCTCGCTCAGCACTGGATATGCTTCGGCGCAGGTTCGGACGGCGAGTGGCATGCATTGGGTTCAGGCTCTTCTGCGAGTAGTGTTGATTATGTTGTATCGACTGGCTGCCGCAGTGCAAGCGAGAATGGTGGCGGGACACGACGAGTTGGCGCTGCGGCGGAACTGGGGCGGAACGCGACGACTGGACGAACGGAGGAAACCACGATGACAACAAGGTCTCTACGTGGTGGGCATGAGGCTAGCAACTTGACGCAGCGGAAGCGTGTTGGGCTCATAGGATGTGTCACGTGACCAAACTACCCAAAAGTCCCTGGATCGAAACCAGGAGTTGCTATTTCTTTTTACCCAGCCCTGCTGCCCCCGAGCGTTCTCCGTCGTGGGCAAGCACGTCGCGCTTTCCCTGCTGAAGGCTACATATGACGTGAACTTATTTCTGGGTCATCAGACGTGGGAGAGGGCAGATACTATAGATATCTCAATCTCTCTCGGGACCTTACTATCGGATAGGCTCGGAAAGTCGACATGATTGACAAAGCCGTACTTGCATTCCTTGCTATTAGAACTTACAGTACATTTGATCGTACCACGGAACGTCCGATTCAGGTCCACTATCCGTGAGTGAATTCCCGACCGCGCGGGTCCTCGACCCTCGAGGCAATCGCATTGCTATCCCACATGACCTACGCTTCTCCATACAGGTATAGAACCGCAAAGCACATCCCTACAGCGACATCGAAACCACACGGCCAAGCACCCCCGACGATATGAGGAAGAGCCTCCTGGACATCACGCTACCACAACACAGTGGATCCGAGCGATAGATCGCGGCGCGACATCGTCGTTCAATGACACTGACAGCAGCAAGTGACTAGCCGACCCTGCTTATTACTGAACCATTATCCACAGCGTACGCGCCCGCTGATGCAATCGCAATGCAATGGCACAGACTTCCGCCGGGACTGTATTGCGCACATTTGGCCCGTGCGAAGCGGGCATGGCGAGTACGTACTTACGCACAGCGGGTTCTGCGAGTGGAAGGTGATTGATCACGCTCGCCCGAGCCGCAGCGCACCCCCCTGCCCGACCGCCGTATCGGGCTCGTCGGACAGACGGAGCGAGGCGAGGTCGGACGAGAACAGGCGAGGAAGCGGGAACGCAGACGGGGGCGTACGCCGCGTCGAGGGCCCATGGGTCGAGTGCACGCGATGCGAGTAAGCAGTCGCTGCAGAAGCAGCGCCCGAAATGGGCAGGACGATCCCGACGACGCGACCCAAGATAGAAGGCCCCCGACTGGCCGCAGAATCGCCTGCGATGCGGCGACGCGGGTGCAGAGCAGGGCTGCGGGGCCTCAGGCTGTCAGCGCGGCATCGGAACGCAGGCGCGGAGTCTGCAGCAGCAGCATACCGGCGTGCGGGGGCCTCGCACGGTGCATCTGCCAGTGTGCATCTTCGCGCCCGCCTTCTGGTACCATCCTTCAATACGTCGACGGTCATGCGCGTGGGTCGCGTTCCAGGGCCACTTCCACTTCGGGGCTTCGACGCACGACGCCCGGGGACACCCGCGCTTCGCCTTCGGCGGGACGTTTCTCTGTCCCCCTGTGAGTGTGGCGTCCGCGAAGACCGTCGCTGGCTGGGGAAGTTCGACGACGCTGCTGCTGCCCCGGACGACCGGCCGGCGACGCCCCGGCGCACGAGAAGGCCCGCCGCCCCGTTAGACTCAGAACTCTCTTGGCCAACATCCACGGCACCCAACAGACATCGCAGCACGCCACCGCAGATCAGGCTCGAGTCGCCTCGAATGGTGCACACGTATGCGATGTCTTCTCCTTGCACACGGTATCTAAGTATGCCGGTGCAGTGCGGATTCCCAGGCAGTTCCGTATGTACCTTTCTTGCGGATCTGCTATGCCGCGTTAGCGTGGGTCTCTCGCAAAGTGTATTGCGAAGGCGAGGGGCAAGCACGATGTGCGGGGCGATGGAGCAGAGGATCGAGGCTCTGCGTCGATTGCAAGCAAACTTCAACCATGCCCGCACGGCCTACATACGAAGACGCATACTGCGACGTTCGTTTCTGGCTACTTGGCTTCCCGCGTGCCGGGCTCAGAGGAGCGCTGCTGCTAGCCAGTTGCGCCAAGCGCGCGCTACCTAGTCATGATAATCGTCGAGGAGCGTGCGTGGAGTGGGAAGACCGTCCTCAACACACTGGAGGCTATGCGGCTTTCAAACGCGATGGGAGATGAGCTTGATCATTCACTATTATGTACCTTCCGATGGTAAGTGGCGCCGGCGGCACGGAATGCCAGAGGTGGGCTATTAGCGTACCACGACGTCCGGCAGCCCGTAGGACAGTGTATGATGTGTGATCCTCCTTGATACGCTGATAGCTGATCCCCGTCTGACAGCAGTTTGTTGGAAGCGGAGGCCCTGGCCCCTGGGACGCCGGTGCACGGAAATATGTGCTCTGAGCGGCCCTCGCAGACGAGCCTATCCAGCGGCGTGTTCCACAGACGTTCCATGGAGGCGTGTGCACTGCTATGCTCACGCTATCGCATCAGACGTCGACGTGGACATAAGCGACGGGAAGAGCGAGAACGCGCGGGAGAGGAGGACACACTGGGTCTGCACTGCCCATCGATGCCTTCGGGACCAGCTTTCGATGCGGCCTGAGCACATTTGCCGTGGAGGCCCCAAGCGTGCAGCATGCGCGGCAGGGAAGAGGCGTCCACGTGGGCGGTGGGGGCGAGGGAGGGGGTCAGCTGAGGGCGTGGGGTGTAGTGTTCATGCCGGGGCGCGCAGACGGGGCGGAGCTGGGAGTCGGACAGGATGGTTGAGAACAAAGAGACGAGTCTTCGCGGGGCATACACGTCCGACTCGGCGCGGGCGGGGGAATGCGATCCGAGGTCGACTGGCATCTCCGCTGGGCGCTCCAGAGGCCACATTTCGTCGCGTCGCATCCGAGAGATGCACGCTGTCCTGTAGCGACGAGTTACAACACAACCGGGCGGGGAGAAATTTTACGATTGTTATGGCGACGTGGAGAGAACATACGTGCTCCTGGCGGTGATTGCATCGATGGCCGGGCGTCGAAGACGAATTCGGCAGCACTGCGCGCGCAGAGAAAGCGGCACAGGGCGGTTATTGCGCTGGAGGGTGCGCGAGCTGGGCAGGAGACGGTGGCGGTCTTGGCTCGCAGAGGCAGCTGGCTCGGTGGCTGGCCGGGAGTGGGAACGGGCCGGCATGCACGGGCGGAGGCGGCGACGGAGTGGGTTACACGCCGCCGAGGCGCTCGGCGTGACGGAGTGCGGGGAACATGTGGCGCGACGTCATGATAGCATTGCGCTGGATTCGTTCCTGGAGATAAGATCATCCCAGCATCTGCACAACAACAAACACGGGCCACACGAGCTACGGACTTCGGCGCGGCCTGCGCGCCAACGCCAGCCCGCGACAGCTGCCCGCAGCTTTGTTGTGCAACAAGCCTCTGGCAGAACATACAACTCACCTCACCTCGGTTCAGTCTAAAGGGACACTTACCTCGATCAGTGGGTTGCCATGGCCGCCACACCGGACTGTATCACACAGAAGCAGGCAGAATGAGTTATGGGACAAGAGTGGATTGGAGTGCTGACAATACACGGCAGTGGGGGTATGTACAACCACGTTCAACATTAGCGTAGCTTCGCTCCCGCTCTCCTTCGTTCCTTCCGAATTACACCTCCTACAATGCGCTTGAATATACGCGGTGCGAATAAGATATAGGCAGCGCCCGGCTGGCCGTTTGCTGTCGGCGGGAGTGTTGGTGATACAATGCTTGCGGGATCGAGTGCGAATGACAACATGGCGAGATCGACGACAGGCGACATATAATATGGTATGAGACGGACCTGAGGGACGAGGGCGCGCCGCGTTAGTGTGGCCATACACAGCGACGAGGGCATAGCATACTCACGAGAGAAGGGACTCCATACTAGTACAAGGGCACAGCGGCCACGATTACTTGAACGGGCACGTAGGGGCGTGGTCTCCTCGCCAGCCGCAGTGGCAGCACTGGGGCGCGTTGTGGTTCACGGGCGCGGACTGTTCTTGCGCACGGTGGCACACGGAGACGGAGCCGGCGCAGGGTCGCTGGTGGGCGGTGGAGCGCGTGCAGCGGTGATGTGAGCGCGACGCCATGGTGGCTGAGTGCATGGTGATACGACGGGGGTGGGGGACTCGCGGTGGAGTGGGTGCTGGTGGGTGCTCGAGCGAGGAAGTGGACAAGGGCGAAGGCGTCGAGGTACGGCAGTGGCAAGGCACGGACGGCGCGGGGATGCTCGCTGGAGAGATGGGAGTAGGTCGCTGGAGGGCTAGCTGCGGTTCCGGCGGAATGGATGGGTGGTCCTTGGCAGTGGAGAGCCGCTTTTATGTTGTTGGAGGGAGGACGAGCAGCGTGACGGCGCCATGGTGGACAGGTGCACCGCGGCGAAGTGTGACAGAGCTGGTGACACGCAGAGACGAGCGGCGCACCCGTTGCGGTGATATGATGATGATTCGAAATAACCAACTAATCCTCGAAATCGCGCTAACCCCAATCGGTCATCGATCTCTTGTGTCGTCGTCCGTGCCTAAGCTATTTCCGGCAATTACCACGGGCCACATCCTCCCGGACGCCTGCCGGCCTGACTCGGTCTGCCCGGCCAAGCGATCCTCCATCGCTCAACCACTCCCCTGCACCAGCAGCCGCCCGCCAGCACGCTCCTCCGCGCCGCGCCTGTCTCCCCTCCTCCTCCTCCCCCCTCGCGCTAGATCGCCCACGTCTTGCTTTCCCCACGCACGTCGCACATACCCGAGCGTCCATTGTCCTTCGCTTGTCCAGGAGCGCAGCGCCCGCCACCCTTCCATTGTGGGCCACTGCCTCCCCGTCCACGACCAACACGCGTGTCCCAGCACCGCTGCCCGTCCTCCAATCCTTTTTGATCCCTCCCCTCCTTCCGTTTCGTGATCATTCGATAGTTGATGCATGATAATACATTCACGCCGCGCGTGTCGACGGGTATGTGATGCCGTCCCAATTGTCCGAGTCCGCTCGTCCGTAATCCATCCATCTATCGTCTGCGCACTCTGCGCCCCGACACACCGGCACGCTTTCCGGAGCCGCCCCCCGGGCCCCTGCAGCACGCCCCGAGGCTTTCTTGCTCCCACCGGCATTCATCGAACCGTGGGCACCAACGCGAGTTGTGGCGCCCGGCGTCCGTGAGCAGCGCGGCGGACATCCCCCACTGGTTCGAATCTAGCCACAACTCCCAGGGCGTGCTGCCTTCCAATACGTGCGTTCTCGATCGACTGGGATAGCCCA